GAATACCCTTACAAGGGTATCCGCCCTGTTTTTTTTGCAAGTGACAGAAAACAGTTTTGGTTTAAAGTTGAAGTATACCGCGCTAAGCGCGGTTGCGTCTGTAACGGAAGTAACAGTCGGGCGACCTCCCTGCAGCTAGGTGAGCAAGCAAGATACAATTGACTGAGCCGGTTTGAGTGGTAGGAATGAGCCTCGCTATGGGGATGATTGCTGGTCTCCGTGGTCACGGTAATGGCGGTTGAGTAAGGATGGCCGACCTCGGCTGTTGCTGAAAGTTGCGGTTACTACGGTTTTGAGGGTAGAGCTGCAGTTGGAATCGGAGTCCGTCGTTGCGAGAAGGAAAGGTTGTGTGCAGGCGGGCGCGTTGAGCCACTGCCCTACACACGAGTACTCGCAGCCTGTTAGAATGATTGAACCTTGACAAAAAGAGTTGAATCTCCTGATGATGCATGGGCAGCTGCCGGCGGCTTGCTGACTGTGAGTGAACCTTTGCTGGTTGATGGGTGTTGCTACTACAGCTTCCGTTATTGCAGATTGGGCACAGACTATAACTGTTTGGGTGATGGTAGTTGTGCATTATTGCTCACCGTGGGTCGTCGGTGCGTTTACAAACTGCAACGGACTGCGGCATCTGGCACAGATTACAACAACGGGTGTTGTTGCTGACTGCCGCTGCGAGTGGCCACTATATGGGTGGTTGGGTGAGGTCCGCTGTTGTTGTTACCTGCTGTATCACAGCGCAAATTACCGCAGCAGTTGACTGCTGCGGACTGTTACGGGCTGTCGTATGACGATTGGATTAGGGGGAGATGTGGGAAGATTAAGAAAGAAGAAGTTGAGCTAAAGGGAGAGTGTTGCTACAATATGGTAAAACGGTGGTGAGGAGAGCGTTTGCTACCAACTGGGAGGTCGCCGGGAGTGGATCTTGGCAACCTTGGCTTTGGAATTCGTTCAAGCTGTTACTTGTTGGCCGCCATTGCGGGGCCCTCAGGCGCTACAAGATTACAAGGCCCTCTCTCGCGAGACTGAGAGCACCATTCTTGGATCTGAGAGTCTCTACCTTCTATTTCTATTTCGTTCTAACTCTCAGTCTAGTCCTGGTTCTGAGAGGAAGGCGGCAGGGGGGATTGCAATCCGTAGGACCGCGTCAAGACTCTGTGGGGAGTCCACCCACCGATTGCGGGAGCTCTGACGGAACCTAGGCGAGGTTCTGGAGGCAGGGAACCTTCAGGTAAATCATCTTCATCCGTATAGCCTACTACTACCCATGTTTGCCTATATCCCCTGTAGTATGATTATTGTATGCATGCGATTGTCCCTATGGTTTTTGCTTTCTCTTCAGGACCTAATCAGACTAACTGGAAAGAATGTGTGAGAGTGAAGCCTAAGTTTCTACTTTGTTCTGATTGAAAGCAGACTAAGGATGAATTGGGGGAAGGTGGAAGGAAGGTAGACTGCATGCGTTTGACCGGGTCAACCAAAGCCTGAGGATTGTTTCTACTGTGAATGGCTCACGACTATATTTATTTGGCTGTTTTCTGAAGGACCAGGCATTGTTTCTATTGTGAATGGCCTGGTCGCTGTGTTTATTTGATTGTTTTCTGGGGAGTCAGGCATTATTTCTACTGTGAATGGCCTGGCTACCTTAGTTAACTCTGAGGGTTGCCTGATTGAAGGGGTTTAAATTCTTGTTTATTTTGAGGGAGAACTTTTGGTCCAAGGCTAAGCATTGTTTCCATGGTGAATGGTTTAGCCTGAAAACCACGCACATAATTTAAACTAAGTATAAAGGAAAATATTTTATGTATATTTGCGTGTGAACTGGCAGCTGGGCATTGTTTCTACTGTGAATGGTCCAGCGTTAAGCCATATCATTAAGAAGAGAAAAAAGAAAATACAAAGTATAAATGGAAATAGTTTGGGCAAGCTGAATATTATTTCTGATGTGAATGGTTCAGTCCCCTGCCCATATTTGTTTTTTGAATAAGGGGATGTGCTTGTTTTCTTTTGCCAAGGAACTTGAAAAGAAGAGGCTGTCAAGATGCCTGAGACTGGTGGCGCATCAGTTGTTCCCAAGAAGGGTCTGACACTCAATGACCTCATCACATCCATCGACCAACATGAAAGGAACCCGAGCAACATCCCAAAGGTCGATACTTTCTATTTCTGTGGGAAGAGAGTCTCAGAATGGCTAGGGCAGGTGGAACAAGCTTTGGTCAGGCGGACGGATGTTGTAAAGTTTCAACACATCCTTCAGTATGTCCTCCACAGCTACCATCAGGAGGTGAAGAAAGTCATAGATGCGGCTCAAGGTAGCTGGAAGAGCTTTAAGGAGGGGATGTAGAGGAATTACCGCCTGGGAAACGGGTTGTTGACTACCACGGACCTTGAAGCGATGAACAAAGAGTATCTTACGACTATAGGGGCCTTTGTTCAAGAATTTAAGAAGAGGGCGCGGAAGGTCCATGGGATTTCGGAGGAATCACAGTGCGCCATCTTCCTGGGGCTACTCATAGCATCGGAGGCCGTCGAATTGACGAGACATGGAGGAGGTAGCATTCAGCTCACCTGGGACACCATTGACAGAGGGGTGGAAGTTGGGTGCTTGGACCAGGTGGAACAACGTCAGGTACGCCTGCAAAGCAGAAGAGAAAGGAAAAAGATGCGACCTCTTCTGGGACCCCGGGAGTAACAAGGATTGTTACAGACGTATTGGCACAGCTAGGGTATGCAACAGAGCCGGTGGTGCAAAGGAGGGTGGTGACGGCTGTCAAAGCAAAAGGAAAAGAGCCAGTGATAGAGGAGGTTAGTTAGGAGAAGCTCTGGGAAGAGGAAGAGCCGGTGCCGCAGCACCTGACRAAGGTCCAGCGCAAAGTGCGTAACTTGGCGCAGGGCGGACAGGGATCAGGAAAAGCGCAGGCGCCTCAGGCCCAGGCAGCAGCCCCTTTAAATGTGGTGGCTCCATCATCCTGTACGGGCCCCTTGCAAGGTGGGGCGCCCTCCTATGGACAGTGGCCCTGGCCGGTGATCAACACAATTGTGCCATGGGGAAGCACGCCGCCAGTAGCCGGACGGCGAACGAGTAGGCCACCACCCATCTACCCCGCGGCCCAGGCCCAACCTGTGGCCCCGCCACCGTCACCTGATCCCAGTTCACAKGGCAGTGTTGTAGGAGGTGGGAACCAGGGGCAGGGCAATCAAGGCAGCGGAGGGAGGGGTGGAGGAAAGGGGCGAGGCAGGAATGGCGGCGGAAGAGGGAGGCAATGGAATGGCCAAGGCCAGGGGTACCAAGGCCAAGGGGGCCAAGGCCAGGGGTACCAAGGCCAAGGGAGTCAAGGCCAGGGGTACCAAGGCCAAGGGAGTCAAGGCCAGGGGTACCAAGGCCAGGGCTATCAAGGCAAGGGGTATCAAGGCCAGGGGGATCACGGAAGTCAGGGGTATGGAAGACCCCGTTTTGACTGAAGGACGGCCATCTGTCAACATTGTGACCAGCAAGGCCACACTATAAGGTTCTGTAATATAAGATGGGAAGACGAGAGAAGCGGACTGATTTCCTCTACTATGGATGGGAATATCTACGATCAGTTTGGGGAGGCCATTGACAGAAGGCTTGGAGGAGTGAGTGAGGGCTGAAGCTCAACGAAGAGCGGCAGCTGGGCCGGCACCCCCTGCCATGTTGAGGCTATGGCAGGAAAAGGAGGAACCACCGATTGGGGTGGAAGAAGTAGGAAGCGATGAGGAAGTGACTCAAGGGCTACGAGGAGGAAGTGAGACGGAAGAGGCCATAATCATCGAGTCAGATGACGAGGATGAGGAGGAAAGAACGGAGCCTCCGTCCGTCTTAGTTGAGAAGATGGAGGACTTGCTGGATAAGATGGGGAGGTACCAACAGAAGTTGGTGGGCCTCTGTGAAGAAGTGAAGGGATGAAGTTCTAACATCCCCATAGTATTCCTCTATGACTCCGGCCCGGAGTCAGCGCCTGGGCGGCCTGGAGTAAATGTGGTGGGGTCGTGCCCACAATCAAGAATGAGGGGGAGACCCCTCACTCCGCAGGCCCGGCTGGCACAGGCAGCGCGAACGAGGAATCAAGCCAAGGCCAGTACCAGCCAAGAACCTCCAAGGAGGGAACACGAACCAGGGAGAAGGAAAGAGGTTGTGGAAGTAGAGGACGACGATGATGAAGAGGAAGAGGACGAGAGGCTGCGCAGAGAAGAGGATCACAGAGCGGAGCAGCGGGCAAGGAAAAAGGGAACCAGGGGAGAGGCCGAACCGGTCATACATGACGGACCGCCCAAAAAGAAGAAATACGCGGTCCGGTTGGAATAGGGATTTGACGTAGAGAAGGTGATTGACCGGCTGCTGGAAGGGCATAATGACCTCATGACCCTGAAGGAAATCCTAGCGTCAGCCTCGCGACTCCGCGATGAACTGAAGGGGAGATTATCACGGCGCCTGGTACCCAATGTCCATCTGGGTACGATCCTGCCCAAGGAGGCAGAGTGGGCAGAGTCAGGTACGAAGATGGACAGGAAGCGAGTAGCCTGCGGTACGGTGGATTTGATGGTGAAGAGTTCCAAGTGCGCAGCAATGATGGACACTGGGCAGAGATGAACATTATTCGGGAGGCGGACGCGATCAGATTCGGGCTGAATATAGACCGTTCTGACTGCGGTATTCTGCATGGAGCCAGCTGTAAGGCCACGTTTTGCAGGATAACCTCAAATGTGCTCGTCGAGGTTGGAAAGGTGAAGGCCAGGGCATGCTTTGTCATAATGCCGGACGTGGACCATGAAATCCTCCTAGGAAGGTCATTCCTAAGCAGGACAGAGACCGTGATGTTCCACAAACATGATGGGATGTTGATCCTCCTCTTATGCTATCCTGCCTGCGGGAATTATGAAATAATTACTTGTAGGAACACCGGGCCAAGGAGTATAAGGAACCGGTTTAATCCAGGATCATTCACAATCGAGGAGTCGGAAGGGGAGCGCAGGAGGCTCTGGGCAGAGCCCGAAGCAGGAGAGAGGGTGGAAGCATTTTCCCTCAGTCTGTCAGATGTTGGGAAGGCCATGGACTTGGTGGCCACGCATGAGATGGCAGATCCGGATGCCATCCACGCTTTGAGGGAACAAGTTCTGGAATGCCTTGAGGCAGGAAGGTTGGAATTGGTATATCGGCTCCCAGGCAGCAGAGGAAACCCCGCATCAGCGCAAACACAATCCGTGAGTCGGCCTTTTTTAGGGGACGGCTCAAGCAGGGTTCCCAAAGGCGGTACAAGACGGTAGACAAGAAGTGTCGCCCAGTACCCGTCCTCGTTACAGAGGACGAGGAAGCATATTACGAGAGGGAACGAGGGTTGATTCAACGAATGAGGGAAAATGCTTTAGCAGGGCCATGTCGTATCAACAAAGGGAACGAGAAGGAGTTGATCATAGGGGAGTCTGATTTCCTGCTGCCTCAGGAGCGAACGAGGAGCGTGGCAGGCTGGATATAGACAAGATACCTATGATCCGCATCCACACCGTGCCACACGAGCCTTGGAGAATGAGAGGGGCGCGATATCCCAATCTTGATGAGGAAAGGAAGGTAGTGGATTACCTCGACGGCAAGATACATACTCACGTCGCCGACTATTCAAGTGGACCGTATGCGTCCCCGTGGTTCTGCTTTATTAAGCCTAACGGGACGCTGCGGTGGGTGCAGGATTTGCAAAGGCTGAATGCAGTGACCGTGCGAGATGCTAGAGGACTGCCGGATGCAGACGCGCTGTCGAAATCCTGTGCTGGAAGGCCTATAATTTTGCTTATAGACCTTTACTTAGGATACGATCAGTTCCCAGTCTACCCGCCGGATAGGCCGGTGACAGCTATGCACACGCTGCGAGGATTAGTCCACATGAACGTGACCCCACAAGGGTGGACCAACGTAGTAGCAATGGTCCAACGGGCCATAATTCGGGACATGCAGTCAGTCAGCCCCCCTATCACACAGCCATACATTGACGATTTGGCAGTGAAGGGGCCGGCGATGAAAGAGAGCGATGAAGTCTCACCAGGGGTAAGACGCTTTGTGTGGAAACACATCCAGGACCTCGAAAAGGTCTTGAGCGTGCTCGAAGAGCATAACCTCATGGCAAGCGGGGTCAAATCCAGACACTGTATGAGGGAAGCGACTATCTTGGGGATCGTCTGCAATGAGAAGGGCCGAAGGCCGGATGTGAAGAAGACGGACAAGATTACTGAGTGGCCAGTTCCGTTCCACTCAATAACTGATATCAGACGCTTCCTTGGTACGTGTGGATTTTGGAGGGCCTTCGTCAAGAACTTTGCCGCTAAGAGTGAACACCTGAGGAAGTTAGTCCGTCAGGATCAGGAATAGGTATGGGGTGAGGAACAAGAAGAGGTGGTGGCAAAAATGAAGGAGGAATTTCGAGAAGGAGGGTTGGTGTTAGGAGCGCCAGATTATGACGCCACAGAGACGCGACCCTTCATTGTTGAAACGGATGCGGGACCGACTGCCTTAGGGGGAGTTCTAATTCAGGCAGACATGTAAGGAAAGGAAAGACCCTTGCGATTTGAGAGTCGGACCCTCTGTACGACGGAGAGGAACTACTCTCAGTTCAAGAGGGAGACCCTTGCTGTCCTCCACTGTCTGCGAATCTTCCGGAAGTATATCTTTGGCAGGAGGTTTATTTTGAGAGTGGATCCGATCGCCCTGGCCTACTCTCTAAGGAATTTCGTTCTATCGGATCCGACGGTTGCCAGATGGCTGACGTACATCTGGATGTTCAATTTTGAATTGGAACGGATTCCTGGTAGTAAGAACCGGGCGGACGGGCAGAGTCGGATCAACTGGGATAAGCAGGAAGGGTAGGCGGTGGAGAATACGCCTCGAGTTTATGGATTTCTGGATCAGGAAGAAGATGTTCGTCTTCATATCAATAAATGGTCGBCGCGAGTGCCCAGCTGTGTAGGCTATCCTATCTGGCAAGCGCCAAAGGGGTATGAAAGGAGGAATAAGCTAGTCCTTAAGCCCTTTGAGGAAGAAGATCCCTGGGGCGGTAAGGATGTTCAGTGGATGACGGAGCTTGCGCAGGCCAGCTCGCATAGCCTGGTGGAGGACATGAGAACGATTGAGGAAGGACCTGACCAGGTAGAACGACATGAGGACCTGATGGGAGGAATGTATCTCATCATCAATACGTTATTGTAGGAAATCCTAGACTAGTCAGGCTCCTTGAACCCGGCAGGGAATGTGGACGAAGTGCCCGAGAGCCAGGACAACGAGTTCGAGGAAGGAGAGATTAAGGAGGTTTTTCGTGCAGAGGAGTACGACGGGATCTACCTAGAACTGGGGCTTCTTCTGTCATGTGAAATGCGGCTAAGGGATGCAAGCGATAGGGCTCAGAGGATGTTGCAGCGCTACTTAGTGCGAGACGGCCACCTTTTCGTGAGAAGAGAAGTGGGGAATCCCATGATGGTCGTCTACAGTAGGAATCGTTAGATCGACGTCGTAGCAGCACTACACGATAACAGTGCAGGAGGGCATCGAGGGGTACAAGCCACGTATGCCAAGATAAGTGAGTTGTACTACTGGGATGGAATGATGGACATGGTCGGAAAATTTTGTCGATCCTCCGTGCCCTGCTAGGAGAGATCCCGTTTAAGGCAGGGAGAGCCGCTGCATCCAAGGTTAGAGCGAGAGGTGGGGGTCGTAGTGCATCTCGACCTGCTTTTTATGCCACTTGGGGATCAGGACTATAACTATATCTTCGATGTGCGCAATAACCTGTCTGGGTTCGTAGACGGGCGTGCTATTCGCACCAAGACCGGGGGGGTCTTAATGAGCTGCATCGAGGAATATTACCTGCGTTACCCTTTCGTCAGGGAATTCGTAATGGACAGGGGATCGGAGTTTACCTGCCAGGAGGTGCAAGAATTGTTATCAAGGTATGGTGTAGCTGCCAACTACACCGCGGCCGCGCACCCCCAGACAAATGCTCCCGTAGAGAGAGGACATAGTACCATTACGAGCCTCCTGGCTAAGTGGACCGAAGGTAGGCCTAATCAATGGCCAAGATATCTAAGGGCGGCGTTCTTTGTCGAGAACATTACAATAAAAAGATCCACCAAGCACGCACCGGCTACATTGTAGTATGGAAGGCACGCCACCTTCCCTATCGAGAGTTTTCTTAGGACATGGAGGCGCCAGGATCTGGAAGTTAACCTGTCATTTGAAGAATTGCTCGATATTCGGGCGCGGCAGATAGGAGCGATAGAAGAAAGGATCCAAGAGGTGTCTGACCAGGTGGCGAGAAGTCGTATGAACGATAAGGCTCGATGGGATCAATCTGGGCGGGTGAGGAAAGTACCCTTGGCAGTTGGAGATGTCGTGCTTCTCTACGATTCATCACTGGAGAAGCAATGGTCCAGGAAGCTCGATAAGAGGTGGTTAGGTCCCTACCGGATCGTACGGGTCGGAGACTTCGGAGCGTATTAGATTGAGGAGCTAAATGAGACTGAGTGGAAGGAATGGGTATCTGGAACGCGACTGAAGAAATTCGTGGCGAGAGAAGAGGTAAGAGAGACGACCTGACTGCCTTTAGAATAAAAGTAGCAGGGTGTGTAGGYTAGGTAGGATGYATGCTRTGTGAGTGTGGTCTGGTCTAAGTTTGCTTGATTATCACCTGTTTTGCTTACCCCAATGTGTGCCTGTTGTCTCCTTCGCCTGTTGTGCAGGTCTGACTTTACGAAGATAGCCATGGCAAGAGGAGGGAGGGGGACACGGCCGCCTCGGAGGCCGTTAGGAGCATCAGGAGGATATGAGCGACATGGGCCTCGCCATCGAGAGAGTACTCCAATATACGATGATGGGGACATCGAGCTATTCCTGGACAGCTTTTGGGATCATGCGAGGCGTATGGGCTGGACCGTGGCCCAAGCAATCGAGGGACTAAGGGGAGTCGGCAGATTCGAGGAGCCCGTCGCGCGGATCCGTAGAGAGGCAACGACGAGATCAGAGGTGGAGTGGAGGATGCAGGAACTGCGACCCTCGCCTGTAGGACCAGATGGCAGGCCGATCCGTCTAGAGATCGAAAACGTGGCAGGCTTCATCCCTGCTTTCGAGTGGTTCATGCAGGGGCAGGGTATACCGAGAGATGAGTGGGCGAGGACCCTACCACTCTGGACCAGGAAGGCGGAAAGGCCGCTGGCTAGCCAAATCAGAGACATGGCCCGGGACTGGGAAAGCTGCAGGGCACATCTAAGAGAGGCCTTTCGACGGCCAGAGTCCCCCCAGCCCAGAGTCGAGAGACGTCAGAGGAGTCAGAGGTCGAGGGACCCTGAGCCCAGGGAGGTGAGACCGTCTCGGGGATGATGGAAGGCCCTGGCCAGGAGAGAGGAGGAGCCGGAGCGGGAGCCAAAGGTTGAAGAGCGAGGGGCATACCCTGAGTGTGGGTTGGGACCAGTGGAGTTCCATCGTTTTACTGAGGGTGGATTGAGGAGGTCACCAGCACACACACGGGAGGACCCGCCAGTGTCTGAAGGGCCGTTGAGAGGATTAGAGACGCATCTGGATATCTCTCAGTGGAGAGCGTCGCCTCAGGATGAGAAGCATGAAGAGCAAGTAGAAGGGGTGCCACGAGAGGAGGTACCACAAGAGGAGGTGTCACGAAAGGAGGTGCCACGTGAGGAGGTACCACGAGAGGAGGTGTCACGAGAGGAGGCGTAGGGTACTCAGCAAGAGAGCAGGCTAGGCGACTTGGGGAGACGTGCAGGGAAGGAAGTGATAGAGGTTGGAGAGGACACACCCCCACAGGCGCCAGCAATGGGTTTGAGACTCGGGGATGCACCAGGGAGCGCTCGTGAGGCAGAGGAGAGTTTGCAGAGAGAGGAGGCCCCACTTCCTTCATCAGATAGGGCTCCATCGCCAGAGGGAAGAGCCGGCAGGAGGAGAGAAAGGGCAGCTGTAAGGAGGGAAGCCTTGACCCTGATTGATAGGCACCTAGCAGCTTATGCCCTGGAGCATCCAGACCTGGAGGAGCCAGCACCTGCTGAGCTGCGCCGGGAGCCGTGCCAACCTGAGAAGGAGATGGAAGCAGAAATCCCGAAGAGGGTCGACCTCCGCACGAGGGAAAGGACGCCAACTGGAGAGACGGCTGAAGAAAAGAGGGCGAGAAGAACTAGACAGATAGATGAGATATGGCAGGAGAGGCAGAGGTTGGAGGCAGCGGGGGAGCTCCCGGAGCAGCAACAGGAGAGGCAGAGATCGAAGGCAGCAGAAGCACTCCCAGGTCATCCACCCAGCGCGCCAGCTAGGGCCCCGGAGATTCCGAAGATGTGGAGAGACTTTTGGGAGCAGAGAGGAGAGGAATTTCCATCGCCAGTCAGAGTCGGGTTTGGGGTGGCCAGGAAGGCGGAAGAGAGGTTAGATCGTAAAATCAAGTTCCTGACCAAGACCACTTTTGACCGGCACTTGTTATTGGAGGGCCATCTGACAGGGAAGAAGATGAAGGAAGCAAGCCATGGAGTACGCCTGGAGGCTATGGAGATGGAAATTCAGGAACTCAGGGCCTTGGTGGCCAGCCAGGCAGCTATCATCGAGAGCCTGAGGCAGCAAACCCAGGGAAGGGTGGACAGGCCAGAGAGCAGCAGGCAGGGAGAGCAGAGGCAGCCAGGACAGGGATTGCCAGGACAGCCATCTGCAGTAGAGCCTCGCCAGGAGCCACCTATGGGGAGAGTTATCCTGGAGCCAGAGGAGGCGAGAGCCCGGAGACAGGCAGAGAGAGAGGCGTTCGAGTTTAGAGCCCCTACTAAGCTCGCAACGCTGCCAGTGGCGGCGGCAGACCCAATCGTACCTTTGGCAGTAGAGGAGGGGCTACCACCATCTAGCAGTGAGCCGGCTCAGGGCTTAGCAGAGGGATCCATGGGCGTGCTCCTTGAGGCGGTGCATACTATGCAGGAGGAGGTGAGTTTGTTTTCACCTGAGCAGAGGATAGAGGAGCCTCTTGAGAGAGAGATAGGGATTGAGGCGGAGAGTGCCATCGAAAGTAGGCTCCAGAGGATGGGCACACCTGAGTATGGACCAGAGGAGATTGAGGAGCAGCCCATGGCAGTGCCAGGAGAGACACTCGAGAGGAGACCTCAGAGGTTGGACACGCCTGAGTACGTCCCAACGACAGGGGATTTGAGGAGCAGACTGGGATCTTGGGCTACTGGATCTGGGTCTGGGGGACCGGTTTCCTGGGATAGAGCAGCAGGAGGTCGTTAGTACCGCAACTCCTCGATCAGATCAGCAGGGGGTTGTCAGTACCTTGGCAGGATCTCCTTCATCACCACCTCCTCAGCCCAGGAAGAAGAAATTCAAGAGGAAGGTTGATCAGCTATGTTTCTACTGCAAGAAGGGCGTGCATCTGGCTCTGGACTGTCTCGAGTTCCTTGAGGATAGGCAGCAGGGAAGGTCTTAGAGGCAGGGGGTAAGATGTATGATAGACAGGGTAGGATAGTAGAGAAGTCCGCAGATGGACTTAGGACTCAGTTATATAGGCAAAACCAGGAGAAGTTGAAGAGGTTGGGCCGGGTTGTCTATATAAGTGGGCAAGTATCTTGTGAGGCATCAGTTTAGGTTCCGTGTGATACCCTCTTAGACCTAGAGGGCTTTTTATGAGGATTGTTACTAGTCTAGATCTGAACTCTAGTGTTCCTACTGAGCTGGGAACTTGAAGATCAGAGTAATCTAGATGAGGCATGTACATATTACGGGTGGCTTACGCCCTGGCTTTTGAGAGACAGATCTGACATGTATTCCAGGGGTAGTTGTCAGTGTGGGTTTGGTGTGGCTTAAGCGGAGTGAGTTATGATTTCGATAAATTTTTTTATGGGTGAGACATTTTATTTCCCTGAGTGTATATCATGATGAGGTTTCCTTCAGGGACCATTCTTATATGTGACGATCACTTGTCTCTCTCACATGTGTGGTTGTACTCTGATGTATAATGAGTTTGTGTGGACAATGTGTGAAAAACTGTTTATGTATCTTGGGTATTGTGAATATGATTGTAAGCAAAACTGTCTACTCCTTGGTATACTTGTGCGACTTGCCCACGGGCAGCTGATAGGGCAGAGTATAAGGGGAGGAAGTGCAGTCCGTCTGTGAAAGGTTGTGAGGATTTTTGAAGATTTATGAACCCAGGAGACTTAAAATGTCTATCATGTTGATTATTGAATGCCTAAGTTGTGATGAGGACCTATAAGATGGTCTCTCAGTGATTTTATTTATGATAAGCCCCCTTGGATTTTAGAGAAGGGGACACTTTTATGACAATGTGGGTTATGATAAGACCCCTCGTGATTTTTGGAAGAGGGGGTGTTTTGTTTTGTGGCGAGACCCCTCGTGATTTTTGGAAGAGGGGGTGTTTTGCTTATGATGAGAGCCCTTTGGATTTTTGGCAAAAGGGGATGTTTTTGTTGTTGGGAGACTCACCTTCAAAGGTGAGTAAACTGATTTATGACATGGTAAGTTGCCTGATGAATGATAAAGTCTGACGAAAAGAGGTCACTCTTTGGAATGTTTGAAAAAGTCGCAATGAGTGCAGGGCGAGAGATGTCTCAGGATGAGTGGTTGCTGACTCTGATCAAGTCAGGGGTCACGGCCTGGTAGATTTGGCGGTGATTTTGTTTGTAAGCGTACGAAGGATGCCATGCCTATTGAGGGAGGGCTGGTAAATGCCTTCGGACCCCTGTGTATCGCGCAGTGGGCCTGTGATTTTGTTTTGCGACGCACCCGTTTAACCACTGGTGCTAATCCTGAGACATATTGAAGAATGGTCAAGCTAACGGAAAAAAAGTTAGTACCTCTAGGGCGTAACCCCATTGGATGGCTGCTAGCTGGCGCAACCTGGTTGCGGGACCACGAGTTAAGAGTTTAAGGGGAGTTACCCGCCCAGGGAAATTACTCCGTGGGATAGTGAAGGTTGAGATTTTGGGAGGTCCTGATTGAGTGCTTATCAGGAGAAACCCTATCGTTGCGTAACCAATGAGGGTACTGCCGTTAAATAACAATGCGGTGGGCCGTAGTCCTGGTCCGATCAACCAGGCTATAGTGGGCCAAGATGGAGACCTGGCCTTTCTGTACTAGACTGCAGAAAGAGCGGAGTGAATATTAAGTTTACATATATACTTATGTGTATTTGATTGCGAGAGATTTTGAGAAGGAAGGCGAGAGTGCCTTCAAAGGTGTCGGTTAAGGCCCGCGTCCCTAGTTTTTGTCAGGACTAGGGACACCCAACGAGAAGCCGAAGGTTGTCTAGGACCGGGGAGAGGACGATTGGGAAGGTCTTTGGAACTTATGTTGTCAGTGTCCTAATTTCTGGCCAGTAAGAGGCCCGGGTTAGAAACCTGGCAGCATATAGTTGTGGAGGCATGGTTTTATGGAGGCCTCTACCCCGTGTTTGTCGGCTAATCGGATTGACCCCTCTTTCGTCAGCATTTGGAGTGCGGATGAATTTATAGCTTTCTGATTTGGCGAAGCGACGGGGACGTCGCTTAATATCGTCCGGTAAGCTGTCAGCGCGAATACCCTTACAAGGGTATCCGCCCTGTTTTTTTTGCAAGTGACAGACAACAGTTTTGGTTTAAAGTTGAAGTATACCGCGCTAAGTGCGGTTGCGTCTGTAATTGCGTTGACTGGGTGGTTGACCACAATAGCGAGTGCGTGGGCGCGCAGGTTTAAGGCGCGCGTGATTCTTTTCTGTTGTTGATCGTAAGGCCGATCCGGACCTCGGTCGTTTTGCTTATTATTATTATTTATTTATTTATGATTAAGCAGAAATAAAGGATATTTTCTTTTGATTGGTACTTATATAAGCAAGCCGGCGCGGGCAAATGGGAGTCGCGCAGCCGTTTTGTTGGTCCAAAACGTCGCGCCGCACTGCCTATATGGTATTCTGCGGGATCCAGTCTCAGGCTTGGGCTTAGCCCTATAGGTTACGGTATTGGACTACTATTATGAAGGTTTGGGGATCGAGGCCAGCGAGTGTCGGCGCAGCAGCGGCGGAGCACTATGGAGAGAACCGAGGGGTTAAGGGCCCGACGGGGCTATCCCCCTTTGGTTTTTGTTGACAAACGAGGCAACAGGCCCGGTCCACGGGAACGGTGAGGCTTGGTAGTCCCCGCACCCTGCTTAGGGATTTCTATTTTATGATGATTTATTTTATCTTTGTTTTTTCTATATTGCTTATTACTTCTATTGATATTTGCAGTCCCGTTTTCGTTCGGGATGCGGTACCGCGACTGGCAGTTCACATCTTAAAAGAAACCACAGGTGGGGGTACCACCGCGGCTAAGTCCTTCGGGACATCTGTTAAAATAGGAATGATACAGAGTAGATTGGCGTGGGGTCTCGGCGCCGGTAAAGGCTATAAAAACGAGGGTTGTCCGACAACCAGAGTTTCTGAGAAGCGGGGGCTGTCGGACCACAGGCTGTGCTGGGTACGGGCAGGCCGGGCAACAGCGGAGAGCGACCCGAAGTAAAGGCGGTGGTCGGAGCGCAGTGGGACAGAGGGCGGTTTGGCGCTAAGGTGGAGTCATGCAGCAATACTAAGGTGCAAATCGTTCGTCGGACTTGGGTATAGGGGCGAAAGACTAAACGAATCGTATAGTAGCGGGTTCCCTCCGAAGTCCCTCAGAGGCCGGCTGACTGTCGAGGCGGACGATAGCGCAACGTGGGTGGTGGGCGCTGTGAGAGCAAAGGCAGGGTGATACAGTGACGGATGAACCCGGACGCGGGCGGGCGCCACATAGAGGGGAGGCGCTACATAGAGGGGACTCCGGTGAAGCCCACAGCGCTGCTGCCCGCACAACGTGCAGATCGGACTTGGGTATAGGGGCGAAAGACTAATCGAACCGTCTAATAGCTGGGTCCCTCCGACTTTCCCTCAGGCCGGCTGACTACCGGGCGGGCGCTGGTGCAAGCGGAGCGACGGGGAGCTACGAAGGCAGGGGCCGGCGGGCAGACGACGGAGAATGACGGGAGGCAGCTGTTAGCGCAGCAAAGAAAAGGTTGCGACGGGGTGAAGCGAGGATAGTGCGAAGGGGGAATGAACTTGGACGGGAAGCGCGTCGAGGTGCATTCGAAGGAAGGGACGAGGGGGAGTGGCTATGGCAGATGTCGAAAGAACTTACCTCGCCCATTCCTTGATGAAAACGAGCGAGGGAAAATAGTGGAGTGGGGTTTTAGCATAGGGCGAGTACAGGGATGAGGTTAGTTTCAGTGGTAAGTGAGTAGATCAGGAGGTTAGTAGAGATAGGCCTGCGAGGAGGTTATGGCGGAGCATCGGAGGAAGAAGTAGGGAGAGCACAGCTCGCTCGTTTTTGAACGAAAATGAGAGAGGGAGGACCTGTTTCAGGGGTTTTAGAGTAGGGCGAAATGGATGGCGGGGCTAGGTTTGGAGATGGGTTAGTGGATTAGAGGGTAGATAAAAAGGTTGTGCGAGAGGATGTCGGGGTGTGATGGAGTTGACAAAGGTGAGGGTTGAGATTTTGCCCGATTCATGATGGAAATAGGCAAGCTCGGGTGGTAGTTGGGGGTCTTTGACTGTTGAGAGTTGAACGGTGAAGGCGGATTCGGCGATAGAATGGTGGGTTCTGAGGTACAACCGATAGGGGCTACGCCCAGGAAAAACGAGTCAGCAAAATGCCAATGTATCTAGTCGGACTCGGGGGATACTTTAATCCAATTCTGCCCATACTGTCAATGATAACGGGAAGGGGAAAATGCGTGTTGGGGGTTTCGAAGCGTTCCAAATCAAATGGTCGTAGTGGAATCCTAATTCGGGCGCCGGTTTAACTACTACGTGCGCGGCCGGCTATGGGAAGGATCGAAAAAAGGGGGGGCTTACCTGGGGCATGAATCCGGTCGCGATTTTAGTAGAAGGTTCGCTACCGTTTTTCTCCCATACGTGTTCGTGTTTTCTTTGTGTTCCTCTCATACGTGTTCGTACTGGACACGACTTCCTTCAGTAAGCAATGAAGAGAAAGAGAGGGAGAGAGGTTGCTTACCTCGTCGGGACGTTGCTACCCATCAAACCAATTGCATCAGGGTTGGGACCGACCGGTTCAGGTGTCTGTGTTGCCTGCAACTAAAGACGGATGCTGTCGGAAGAAGGCTCTCTGGCCGGGGTGTAGTGAGAACCTGCCTACTGATGGGTGTAGGTCTCGCCAGGGTAAGCAGTTGCGGAAGTAACAGTCGGGCGACCTGCCTGCAGCTAGGTGAGCAAGCAAGATACAATTGA